ACTATTCATTTTACTAAAATATGCCTTCAATGATTATTTTATTTTTAATTTTAAATAGAAATTTCGAAAACATTACATGGCATGAAAAATCGTTCGTTTAGCATATTAGAATACTGTTATTTTGCAAACAATTCAAGTCTTAGCATCTATCTAGACAATTGATACATCATTCATCATCAAAATCCTAATAAATTGAATTTTTTTTTCAGAATGTTGTCAATAGCCAAGTTAACTTCAAAAATTTTTCGATAAATTCGTAAAATATTCTTATTACGAGTTTCAATGCATGAAATCTTCTTCCGTTTTTTCAAACATTCTTTAATGTATGAGCTTTTAATAATAAAAATTCATTGAATAGAATAAGTTCTATGTTAAACATACAATTATTAAACGTGTTAACACAAATATATCAATAATAAATACAAACAATTTTATATTTGCATAGAAATCAATTATGAAATAAACTTATTCATTATTGTCATATGACAAAAAAAAAAAATGCCTCATCATCAATAAAATGACTAATCCTATATAAAAACAATAAATTATATTTTATTAACTTTCATTTTAATAAAACTAAAAGAAAACAAAAAAAACATGTTCGATGAAAATCAAAAAATTTAGAAAACATAATCATTTAAAATTTTATCAGAAAATAAAAAAAAAAAACGAGAATTTCTTTTTCTATTTGACGAAAAATCAAATAGTTCAATTGTCTGAAATCTCTCACATGAAAAACTCTTTTTATTACAAATCAAAGGTTCAATAGTTTTGTTTTATCATGTTTTACATTTTCAAATATTCGAATCTATATTACACGAGGACAGAGATAAGAAGTTCTTGACAATTTGTTTAACAATAAAACGAAAATTCGTGGGTACATTTTTCAAACATAAAAACTTTTGTAATCTTAAAAATATTTTTCATAAAATATGATTTTATTAATTGAACTTTAAGTATAATTTCAATGTTTCCGATTATTTGATCATATAATTCGAAGAACATATCAATGCATAAAAATAGAAAACCTTTTTTGTTTTTTTTTTTTTTTTTAGAAATTTTTTAATGAAATAAATTTTTGTTTTTTTTCATTATGAAATATTGACAGATAATATAAATATTCAAAAATAAAAATCTTGAAAAAATTTTGTTGAAAAAAAAATTTTCTTTAAAATCTATGTTGTTCGTTCTCATTGATAGTATTTCAATAAAAATGTTTTATTTTATATTTTATATTCATGTAAATTTTATACTAAATGAAAGAGGAAATTTTTCTCTATTAAGTAATATTAAATTTATTAGATTTAAATAAAAATTTCTATCAAAATTTTTCAAATTATTCTCAAAATCTCCTTAATTCAATGATGTTTTTTCTACTTTTATCAATAAAAACATATCTAAAACAATCAAAATTTTCAAATTTTTTTATATAATCTTATAGAAAAAATAGTTTTCTATCGAATGATATCATAAACATAAAAAAATTCTAAAAAATTCTTTAAAAAAAACTTCAATTATTCATATGGATTCGAATATATTTGACTAGAAAAAAAATGTTTTAAACATCGTCGAAGAACATAACACATAAACGAACGCAAAGGAAGAGAAAAAGAATAAAAACAAAGCACGACCCAAGTGAGAGTCGATACCATCGATATATAAATAATCGTGCACAACCACTATTAACTTCATATAACAACAAGCGCAAATAACAGCGTTCAGGTATGTCTCAATTTAATTTTCTTCTTCTATTAACTAAAATTCTTCTTATTTATTAATATATAGAGTTCATCTCTTTCTCACTCTTCATTTTAAACAAAACACTTTATCTTATTTAACCCAACAGTTCTCTTCAGGTATATTAATAATTTAAACATTAAATAAAATTAATTTCAAAAAAAAAAATTTAGAACTTATCATCAAAAAATGACCGAAGGTACAATTGCACAAGTTTCATCAGTTCAAACTGCTAATAATACAAATGTTTCACCAAAGAAACAACAAAAAAAAACAACAAAAGGCAAATCAACACACGTTGTAACACATCCAAAATATTCCGAAATGATTAAAGCAGCATTAAAATCATTAAATGATCGTGGTGGAAGTTCACGTGCTGCTATACTTAAATTTGTTTTAGCTAATTATTCACTTGATCCAACACAAGCTAATCAACATCTTAAATTAGCACTTAAAAATGGTGTTAAAGCTAAATATTTTAAACAAACAAAAGGTAATGGTGCAAGTGGTTCATTTAAATTAGCATCAACAGGTGAAAATAAACCAACAAAAAAAAAATCAATTAAACCAAAAAAAACAACATCATCATCAACATCATCAACAGCAACAAAAAAACGTGCTCGTTCAAAATCTGCTGGAACAAAATCAGCTAAAAAGGTCGCTACTATTGCTGATACAAATAATTCAGCTACAACAACAACAACATCAACTGCTGCTGCTGTTAAACCAAAACAAACTAAAGTTGTTAAACCAAAAACAAGTGCAACACCAAAATCAACTAATGCTGCTAAAACAAAAAGAACAACACAAAGTAAGAGTTTTGAAATTTTTTTTTTGTTTATTATTTTTGATTTTGTGTAGCAAAATCCAAACGAACAACAGGAACTAAAACAGCTGGTGTAAAAAAGGCAACAACAACAACAACAACAACAGCAACAAAAAAAGTTGCTCAACCAAAAGTTAAAAAGGCAACTACACCAAAAAAACCAAAATCAACAGCAACAAAAAAAGCAACAACTGGTAAAAAGGTATCAAAACCAAAATCAACCAAAAAAGTTTCATCACCAAAGAAAACAACCAAATAAATCAATTAATTAAACTAAAAAAAAAAACATTTATTTCATGTAGTTCGTAGTTGTTGTCTGATATTTTCTATATATATATATATATTTGTTATTATCAATGATATTCATTGATATCAAAAAAAATTATTTTGCGACCATAGATTTGTGTGAGTGTGTGTGTGTGTCTATTGTTATACACTTGTATTAAAAAAAACAAAAAAAAACATTTGTGTGTTGAGTGAGGTACAAAAAAAGATGAGTAGTTTAGAGGATTCGTTTTTTTTCGAAATAAATAAACATTTAAACTTTAAAGATAATTTTATGTCTTTTATTTTTTTAATCAAATTGAGAAGAAGAGTGAAATGAAATTCGAATTTCGTTGAATAGAAAAGAAAAAAATATATTTTGACTTCGATTCTAAGGACATTTGTTATTTTCATGATATGACGACAATCAAGAATTTTTTGTCATTTGTAAATGACATGACCGACTGATATTATTCGCGAAAAATATTGTTTCTTTCAATAATTTTGTGTTATGAATCTTTGCAATATGAAATAGACTTTAACGTTCAATTCTTCGATAGAGCTGGACATTTGTTGGCTATTATTTAATTTTTTTAAAAATTTCTATGAATTTTACATCACTTAGGGCTATAAGAGGGAAATTCAAGTGTAGAAATAAGATCTAGACGAGAGATGGACAAAATCGCACCGCGTCTAGGCGCTACGCACATCTCTTTGCTCTACCAATCAGTTTTTCAAACTCCATCGAATACCGGGTTGCTCTAAGCATGCGCTCATCGAAGCTCAGACTAGTGTAGCGTAGGCGTGAGCAACGGCGCGGTGCGATTTTGTCCATCTCTGATTATTTTATTGTAAACATCGATAAGAAAAATTACTTGTGAGAATAAAAACTTATTAGAAACTATTTAAAGAAGAGAATTATATCGTAAAATCAACTTTGATAAGTTTTTAAAAAAAAACCGACTTTTTATTTTTCATACAGATTGATCGTTTTTTTTTTGCTATGTAAATGATTAAGAAAAGAATGAAGAAATATAATTTAACTTCTTTCAGAAAAACAAAAGTCAATGAAAAGTTGTATCTTTGTTGCTCTTTCTTTTGTTCTCAATCGAATAAAGTTTTCATATAGTTGAAAAGAGCATGATGTTATTAAAAAAAAGAAACTCTAGTACGTTGATTTAATCTGCTTCGTTTTTTTTCTTTTACAATGTCATATTGGATTCGAAATGATTTGTAACAAATAAAGATAGTATTATAAGTTGACATTGTATATTTTTCTACTACTTTCGATTTTAATGGATTTTTTTTGTTGTTGTTTTTAGATACTATATAATAAAAACTTTAAATAATATTGAGATTTAACGAATTTTCATCTGAAATTTTGCGCATAGACTACCCAGGTCAAATGACCTCAGTCGGATCTCGCCAGTTCGGAATAATTTCGGTCGGATCCGGTCCTATATTTGTCGGATTCCGATCCGGATTTCATCGGAATTCGACGGAACGTGATAAAATCCGACCTGATTCGACCCGGATTTCATCGTGTTCCGTCGAATTCCGATGAAATCCGGCTGATGGGAATCTGACAAAAACCTTGTCGGTTCCGATCGGTTTTTTATGAAAGATGTCGGATTCCGATGAAATCCGAGGCGGATCCGATCGTTTATCGATCGAATCTACAGGTCGGATTGAATCTCCTGGGTAATTTTCATAAAATATCTTTTTATACAAGTTAATCTAGCTGAATTCTTTATATGAATAAAATTCGATTGTTCAATTAAATATTGTGAAAATCTTTTTAAGATTTTAGATCAGAAGACTATTTAAACATTACTTAGTGTTAGTATTTCATAGTTTTTAGACCTATTTCTTGCTCTAAAACGAATACATTTGAATAAATAATTTTATAAAAATATCGTTGAGAAATTGCCGATCAAATTTGAATAATGAAAATGAAATAGAAAATTGTTTTTTTTTCCGAATAAACTATGTATTGAAACGAATAGTAAATTGAACAAAAGTTTTCAATGAAAATATAAGACATTAGTTTAAACAGTCAATAGTTGAATCAAAATAATTTGACTTAATCTCTTGAGTATTTGTTTATATAGAAAAATTCGAAGCATTGAATGATATTTGTATATTTCAAATATAGATTAATCATTTTTCTTGATTATTCATTATCAAGAATAAATCTTGTTTGTCGTTTCTTTTTGAATCGTTTCTTCGATGAATTTATATCATTGGAAATAGTTTGAAGATGTAAAGATGATGAAACTTGAACATTGAATAAAGTTTGACAAAGATCTGATTTCTATTTAAGAATATTTCTTGTATAGAAAATACATGGAAATAAATAAAAATTTACTCGTTTTCGATGAATTCCATCAAAATATTTTTCAATCTAATTAACAAAACAAAAAAAAAAAGATAAATTAAAGATTAAAATATTATCATGATAATAGTTTTTTTTGTTTGTTACTCGTGAATAATCAATAGTTTGTAAATAAAATTTTAATGGTGAATTTGTTTTTAAATCTTCAATTGAAACAAGAGACATAATTGAATCAATATCTAATTATATTGAATCAAAGCATTAAAAAAAACAGAATATATTTTCTTTACCATTAATATTTCGTGCAGTTACACGACTATTTGGTTCACCAAATGGTTGTGTTGAAATTATTCGACAATCACTTTGTAAATCATAAAAACGTAATTTTAAATTTTGATTTTTATCATTTGAAAATGATTTATTATTAACAAAAATTAGACTAAGAAAAAAAACAAAAAAAATTCATTTAAATATGTATCTATCAAAAATAAAATGCTTTCGAATTAGAATTGTTTAGGACGGGATTATTTATTTGAAAATAAAATAAATCTTTTGAAATAATTGATTACTAGTCTCTAAACAAGTTTCTTGACCTTTCAAGACCGACAATGCTTATATATATATGCAGTGCATCTCAAAACTCTACAACAATATTAGATAAAACAATGGATAGGTAATTGACATGTTGAGAGGTCGTATTCTTTATTGAATTATGGCAATGTTCAGGATATTTTCTTTATTGTACAGCTACTAAATTAGTCTAGATTTTATTTAACATAAAATTTGAAAATAGCATTCAAAAGTCTTAACATGAGCTAAAAAATACAATTGATAAAGCATCGTGCATGACATCTTCCTACTTTCTATTCTTTTCTGTCTCTAGTGCTGCCGATTTAACCATGTTCTGTTGATTGTGAATTGTTTCTACCAGCTATTTACTGTGTTCTTTGGTAAGCGTAGCTTGTTTTTACTCAATATAGTTTTTCGAAATGAAAGTTGTCTCTCAATAAATTTTGCTATTTTCATTCTTGTTGTTGTTTTCTCGTTGAATAACAGTGACAAAAATAAGTATAAAGTGAATTACAGATGCAGAAAAAACAAGCCCTTTGGAAAAACTCTAAAGCAAAATATTATGCTAAATTTTTGTAGACAAAACTTTTAATGTTATGTTTTTCGGAACAAATTTTTTTTTTTATGTTATTCTTAGACATTTTAGATTTCTCAAAGCTTACTGTTTAGTTTCAATAACAAAACTCAGATGATGTGTTAACACATTATATCCTCATAATAAATTTTATAAACGTATATTGTTGTATTATTCATATAAAGGGTGTTTTATAAGTTTTGACTTGATTTTCTTTTCTGTTTTTGCTATTTTTAATGGCAGAAAAGTATTTTATAGATTAAATCATAATTGCGTCAACTTTAACAGAGAATCACATTAATAAAAATTTTGGCAAAATCATGTTCGCCTCTTCATAGGAACTTTCTCTCTCTTCTGAATAACTTCTAATAAGAACTAGATATAAGTCGAATCAATCGATCTTGATCCCAAACTCAACGAAAGTCGAACTATTTTGTCCATATCTATTTAGAACACATAAGTCATGACAATATAACACTAGATGCAAGTTTTATACGACTATGAAAAATATAACAACTAATAGAAAAGTGTTGATCTTGGTACTAGCTCTGGTAGGTTGAAAATCAGCACCATGTTACTCATATCTTTAAAAAAAAAGAACAATAGTAGTGACTCGTAGTGAGTGAATGAATGTTTCTTTCTCAGTGTAGATACAAAATCAATTGAACTGTTTTTGACTGATATCTTAAATGTTACTTTTGAAATATATATGTTCAACTATTACATGCGGCAAAGATAGAAATAAAAATGGATTTGAAATTTATGAAGAAAGGTTTAGATTCTATGTGCGGTCTTTTTTTTTTATCTAATATCCTATTGACAAATATTTTATCATTGTTAGTATTGTTAAAAATAATTACTTTCCAGATTTAAGTATTGATCGAAAATTTTCATGAAAAAAATCTCCTTGAATTATCTGAAATAAATTAAACAAATGTTTTAATCTATCATATAGTAAAATGATAATTTAACTTGAAAATCACTATAAGTTTTTCCAAACCATTTCATCCAAAAAGAAAATTCTTTTTCGAATAACTAAAAAAAAAATATATATTTTGAAATTCTAAATAATAATCCATATATATATATATATACTTTAGCTGAATGATATAAATCTGAATTATTTTCAATTCCAATTGATTTTTTACATGATAACATAGCTGCTATTTGTAATGGTACATGACCATAAGCACAACCAAGATGAATAAATATATCATCTGATCGTAAAGAAAATTTTCTAAATAATTCATCAATTAATTCAAATGAATATTCATTTTGTATCTATGTTACAAAAAAAAAAAAAGAAAATTTTTATTCGTTTTTATTTTTGTTTATTAATACTAGATTATCTTTTTGAGAAGATAATTTTAAAATAAAATGAAGAAATTCACGAGTTATATGTGAACAAATTTTTTGACGTTTAGAATGATTTCGTATTTGTAAATTATTTTTATTACGTAATAAAATATTATTTACAATTTTATTATAAGCTTCTGCATAAGCTTTTATCATTGTTAAACTAAAGACAATAGAAAACAAAAAAGCAAATATTTCATTTTAAATAAATAGAAATTTTATTTTACTCTTTAAGATCAATCATTGTACGAAATAAAGTTTGTTCTGATATTTTTCGTAATTCAGGTGATAATTCACAAGCAAATCTTTATTTTTTGTTCAAAAATAAAAAATTATTTATATATAATAGAAAACATACTTAATTGTTTGAATAACATTATTTGTTGAATTTGTATCATCCTAGATGATCATTAGATTGTCTTTTGATCTGATAATAAAATAATTTTTAAACAAAGTGCAAACATTTAACATAAAATACAAAAAAAAAAAAATTTTACCCATTGAATATTTATATATGCATCAGAATTGTCAATTGGACTAATAAGTCGAATGGCATATGGCACTTGAAAATAAAATAAAGTATCATGTCAATGAAAGTATCAAAAATGATTAAATATATACTTCTAGTAACAATGAATTAGTGTGATATAAAAATGAATATTTATACTTTTTAGTTGTCAAGGAAACACATTAATGAAAATTCATTTTTCAACATGATGAAAAACTTATACCTAAATAGAAGAGAGTTTTTCAAGAATTATCCTATGAAATAAATTAAATTGGAAAAAATAAAAGGATAATGATCGATGATCATCACAATCATATGATTTTTCTGCAAGTCTGAGTCTTATAAAAAAAATCTTATTGCTGCAGATATGTTTCGCGTCTAATTTCACCGATAGACTACTAACGAGGAAACATATTTAGGTGTTCACGCATTTTAGAGCCTATCTTTTGGCCACAAGTAGACCTCAATGAGGCATGAAAAACCTGAAAAGGATTCATTCCCTCGTGCCT